TTTTAATATTCATGGCCAATAACTAGTGTGATTATATATTACAAGTGTGATTATATGTTATGAGAAAGTATCCTCCGTAAAATCACATATATTATTGAAATATGTACTGTCTCATATTTATTACATGAATTTAAAATTTTAACGAAAATGTTAAAACTTTTTTACGGGACGGTAAGACCCTGTAGAATTTTATGTTAATTTAATTTCATAATTAATGTAAAATTTAATTTAATATTTAATTATTAAATTTAATAAATTTTAATTAATAGAAACTTTAATTTAAGAAAATATGTTGATTTTTAAATTACCTTAGGTATAACAGCGTTATATTTTTGTATAGATACTATAGGAAAAAATGATTGCGACCTCGATGTTGAATTAAGATAAAATCACGTGAAATTAGAAATTTCTTCCACTTTAATCAATCAAGTCTCTGTCTAAGTTTGACTTATAAAAATTATTATAAATATTTTTAAAAATCTTTTAATAAATTATAAATACTATTTTATAATTCATTTGTAATTAATTTAAATTACAAATATCTTTATAATTTATTTATAATTAATATGTATTTATATAAATATTTTCAAAAATCGTTTGAGAATATACTAAATCAGAAACCGTTCTGACCTACCAAATAATTAACAGTCGTTCTTCTTGTTTCAAGTTATTGAACGAAACTTCCACCTCAGCCTGCAAGTCGACCAGAAGCAGAAATGTCAGTAGAAATCAGTAGAGTCAGCACTCGGAGACTAATTTTCGTCATTTGCTGATATACGTAGCCAGTAAATTTTAATTAATAGAAACTTTAATTTAAGAAAATATTTTGATTTTTTTGAAATTACCTTAGGTATAACAGCGTTATATTTTTGTATAGATCCTATAGGAAAAAATGATTGCGACCTCGATGTTGAATTAAGATAAAATCACGTGAAATTAGAAATTTCTTCCACCTTAATCAATCAAGTTTCTGTCTAAGTTTGACTTATAAAAGTTATTATAAATATTTTTAAAAATCTTTTAATAAATTATAAATACTATTTTACAATTCATTTGTAATTAATTTAAATTACAAATATCTTTATAATTAATATTTATTTATATAAATATTTTCAAAAATCGTTTGAGAATATACTAAATCAGAAACCGTTCTGACCTACCAAATAATTAACAATCGTCCTCCTTGTTTCAAGTTATTGAGCGAAACTTCCACCTCAGCCTGCAAGTCGACCAGAAGCAGAAATGTCAGTAGAAATCAGTAGAGTCAGCACTCGGAGACTAATTTTCGTCATTTGCTGATATACGTAGCTAGTAAATTTTAATTAATAGAAACTTTAATTTAAGAAAATATTTTGATTTTTTTGAAATTACCTTAGGTATAACAGCGTTATATTTTTGTATAGATCCTATAGGAAAAAATGATTGCGACCTCGATGTTGAATTAAGATAAAATCACGTGAAATTAGAAATTTCTTCCACTTTAATCAATCAAGTTTCTGTCTAAGTTGACTTATAAAAGTTATTATAAAAGTTATTATAAATATTTTTAAAAATCTTTTGATGTTAACTTATAAAAGTTATTATAAAAGTTATTATAAATATTTTTAAAAATCTTTTGATAAATTATAAATACTATTTTATAATTAATTTAAATTACAGATATCTTTATAATTTATTTATAATTCATATTTATTTATATAAATATTTTCAAAAATCGTTTGAGAATATACTAAATCAGAAACCGTTCTGACCTACCAAATAATTAACAATCGTCCTCCTTGTTTCAAGTTATTGAACCAAACTTCCATCTCAGCCTGCAAGTCGACCAGAAGCAGAAATGTCAGTAGAAATCAGTAGAGTCAGCACTCGGAGACTAATTTTCGTCATTTGCTGATATACGTAGCCAGTAAATTACGTCGCTGAAACGATGCCGATCGGTAGCCTCCCTCGGTTTTCCAGCGTTAACAATTCATCGGCCCGTTTGAAATTTATGCGTGTCTAGACGAGAGAGGGCACAATGCTCGTCCACGTGACACAGACGATAATGCTTCTCCCCCCATCCTCCTCTTCGCCAATAGTTCCTCCGCAATAACGCACCACCCTGGGGCGTCTTGTTTTATCGGAAGAGAGAGAGACGAATTTTCTCGTGTTTCACGAAAAATGCTGCCCCGCAAAGACTTGTTTTTCTGAACGAATGGGATCTCTGAGGCTTTCTGAATCGATCGTTTGTCGCGCCGGTTCAAACCCGGGTCGAAGATAACGTCGTTGAAGAAGAATGATTCAGCTGTGAATTCCTGGATCATTTGAATCGAGTCTTTTGTCGAGTATCACTGTTCGTTTCGACGTAGACTTTTCTCTGCTTTTTTTTTTGTTTTTTTTTTTTTTTTTTTTTAACAAGTTCGACACGAGAACGAAACGAGAAGTTTCACGAGCGTGTTGAATTTTGAATTAAACACATCAGTTTACGCGTTGATGGCTGTACATAATTGTTGCGAGAGTACATAATTAAACGCTTTGCGCGTCCGTGTATTAATTACGTGGAAATTAATCCGACAGACTCGCCGTCTAGTGGAATTATCAACCTTTGGAATCATCCTGATAGAAAATAAACTCATCTTGCATCTTTCGTTCTGGTTCTTCGAATGTTTGATAAAATGAATAAGATTATTTTCGAGGAAATAAAAACGATCGTATCGCTGCCTGTACTTTAGAATTCAATGTAAAAAGCATCAAATTAAGCTTTTAATTAATTAAGTTTCACGTTTGTTCGTCTAGTCGAGCAAAACTTGTCGTCGTAGAAGATTAAAAGCGAGAAACCGTTCACCATATATATAATTCACCACGATCGACTCGTATTTTCGTCTATTATTAACAGAATTTATCGCGACTCGCGATATCAGATCGCCCGGTTAAAAATTCACTAGCAAATTCACATATATATTCTCATGCACACATACACGCTCGCATACATCCCGAGCGAAATCGTTTCGCTTCCAAACTGAATGAATCATTGACCAGTGATACTCGTGATATATTCAACGAAACAATACGATCCTGTTTGTCCGGGAGATTATTACGACAACGTCTGGATAAACAGATAAAACCGTAAGTCATCGTGCAACGAATTAACATCACTCGTTTAATTAAACCGTACGATTCGCGATAACACGTTCGACTTTTCGTCTTTTGTTCCCATAATAACTAGAGCACATTGGACACTAGAAAGTAACAATAATTAATTTTCCCTCGACTAATTTATTATTTTAGAATCATTCGTAAGATTTTTCTATTGATGAAATGTTGATGCAATGATCAGAATATGTTTGAGCGGAAATTTGTTCGGATGGAAAATAAAAGGTTCGTTCGGCCAACCAAAATGACGGAACAATTTTGAGAAACGTCATTTCTCGCGTTCCAGCGCAGGTACAATTCAAATACAATTCATTTAGTGTGCTTTAGAATCAGTGATAAAGGTCAACTGACACGAGATATTCAAACAACTCCAGATAAGTAAGATAGCACGTTATACAATTCATTATCACTGAAATATAGTGACTCTTGTTGATAATCATTGAACCACGATACATTAAACGAATGTATAATTTTGTACTTCTGCAAATGTAATTTATAAATATCGTTACTTTAACCACTTGCGCTGGCAGCTGATTGCGGACCGTAACGAGTGACCGAACGTCATTCCAGCGCAAGAGGTTAATAGTCTAATTAGTAGATAAATATCGTTACTTTAATAGTCTAATTAGTACGTATTATGTATAATACATAATATAGTATTAGTACGTATTATGTATAATACATAATATAATATTAGTACGTATTATGTATAATACATAATATAGTATTAGTCCGTATTACGTATAATATATAATATATATATATATTGTATATATATATACAATATAACACATAATACATAATATATATATATATATATATATATATATATAATATAACACATAATAGATAATATATATATATATAATAACACATAATACATACATATATATATATACACATAATTATATACACAATATAACGATACAATTGATATCGAATAATAATTAATATTATTAATAATAAATATATTAAAAAAGAATTAATTCAACGACACCGTTATTAACAAATATATATTTGAAGCAATGTGATCTTCCGAATAAATTTCGAAAAATTAGTATACGTCGTTTGTTGACAGTCCAGGCCCAAGTTATCAAGGGAGGAAACCACCCCTCGGCGTTCTCGTTGTTGATTTTTCTTTGTTCGCCGATGGAAACCTTTATCGGGCGCGATGTTTAATTAGACGATAATTAAACGCAAATTGGACGAGATAACGTTTACAAATTATGTCTATTTCTATTTCGTTTCGCGGGGTGTGGGGGGATTATTTTGTTAGGCAGGGTGTGTAATTGCGGCCGAGGATTATTCGTTTCATTCGGTTATTCGGCTTTCCGAGTTAATTGAATCGAACTGGGCGTGGTTTAATTACTTTATCTCATTGTTCCCGCGCTTTTTGTGTAAATGGCCGATTACTGTTGAACAGTTACATCGTTAAATGGATTGAACTGCACGCTATTGCGTTTATTACATTCTTCTCTTTTCTCTCCTTTTTTTTTTTTTTTTTTTTTTTTTTTTTTTTGAACGAGAACGAGAATCGAAAAAGAACATAAGCGAAAAAGATAAAAAAAAGACAAGTCGTGAATCAGAAGACGAAATGGACTGTGTCGCCGCAACGATTGGTCTTAACCCCTCGATGCAACCTCTTGATCGTTCGATCTTTCTTCTGTTACAAATAATCGGTCTTCGTCTAATCGAGGATCGTTACGGGCGAACTTTTTTGCATTTTTTCAGAGAACAAAGGGGGATAACGAACGTAGGAAATTACGAAATTAAATTCCGGCGGACGATTGCAGGGAATATGTTTCTTCTATTCTTTTTTGTTTGTTTCTCTCTCTTTCGCTGCAAAGAGGATTGCGGACGGAAGCTTCGTTCGTTCGTAAGAAAGGAGAACAACGAGAATGGATAAGGAAAAAGAATAGTCTGAAGGAAACGTACTACTTCTTTAATGAGCTGCGTGCGTCGACAATCGGGAACCGATGCGATTCTCATAAACGAAATTACGGCTAGAACTTCGTCCGACATTCGCGATTCAATCGAATTTTTATTTGTTCGTCCACTCCTCCGGCGGAGGATCGAAGTGAAAGAATTAGAAGGGTACGTTTCACGTGTTGAACAATCGAGCAACCGATCCGACAAAGGATTGGTCGGAGTAAACGCCAAAGGAAACGTGTTGGCAAACACGAAGGACAAAACCGGCGAAGAAGACCAACGAAGAAGGGAACGCAGCCTGTTCGAGGAACCCGATCGATGGGCCGGAAGCGTTCGTATGAACGGCCTTATTCATTCATCAGTGTCTATCGAACAGTCTCCAAGAGACGATGCATCGTAGACCGAATCGAGTCGTCCACTTCTGGTGATCAGAATGCGATAGGCATCGAGGAGTTAAGGCCCGATGAGAATGAGAGAGAAAGAGAAAAAGGCCGAGAGCAATTTGTGATGGTTTCTTTCCTGACCGTCTCGTTCATTTCCCGCTCACTCACCTGTTTTCATCGAAAACCGAGAAAGAGATTAAAAAAAAAAAAAAGAAAAAAAGAGGACGAGAAAGAGAGAAAGAGAATAGTACACGATGGGATGCGACACGCGCCGAAAGAGAAAACGGGTAAATATGCTGAAGCACACATCAGAAGAGTCTCGAGCGACGGGCGTAATGTGTATCATCTGCTAAGTATACATATATATCGTAGTAGTCCCTCTCTGTTGACTTTTTTGAAGCCAAGAAAGCGAGCGTGAGCGAGCGAGCGAGAGAGAGAGAGAGAGAGAGAGAGAGAGCGAGAGCGCGCGAGAGAGTAAGAGGCACTCAGTGGAAAAAAAGAAATTATATATTATATACATATATATATATATATTAAAAGAGCTTTCTGTGTGTGGAGGTGTAGCACATTTAGATTAGTGACGCGTAGAAACTAACATCGGGAGAGAAAGGTAGCGAATGAAGCTTTCTTCCCCCTTCCTTGAGCTTTCTCTCAGCACTCATCTGTCTCTGCGTCCGGCAGAAGGGGTACGGGCTGGCTTCACTGGCCACCCCTTTTGTCACTTCTTGAGTTTCGCTATGTTTTCGCGCTTGTCATCACACGTTTTGGTATCTCTGGTGCACTCAGCTACTCTGTTTGTTCATTTTTGTTCGTTCCGTTTTGTTTTTCTTCTTCGTTTCTTTTGTTTCTTTTAATTTCTCTTTCTCTTTTTTTTCTTTTTTTTTTTTTTTTTTTTTTATATCGTTCAGAGCTCCAAGAACGTTTTTGTAAAATGATACGAAACTGCGTAATCGCGATTGTGCGTTAGGAATTAGGATTGAAATTGTATGGTGTGAATTGATTCTCACGTGAATTTTCACTCTGTCACGTTTAAGAGTGGTTTTGGAAAAATTTGGGAATTCTGTGAAGGAACAGAATAGATGAAATGGAGGGAATCTCTCGAAATGAATAAATTCCAAATCTTCTCTTCACTCAATGGTACTCATAAGTAATGTCGTTTTCGCACAGTTTTAATCTATAATATAAAACTTCCTATTCCCTTTTTGCAAAACGAGGGTGATTTTGGAGTGGAGAAAATTTAAATTCGAAAAAAAAAAAAAAACGACCTATAGTATAAACCACATCGAGAAAAATATAATGATGGAAGGTGATATATTGAAGATCAGTTTTTCCATTTTACCGAACTGGTGAAAATTGACGAGCGTAATTTCTCTGCGTGAACGAGAATCACCAGCTTCCAAGAACACGATCAGACACCGTTGAACGTTCCAGCCGCCACCGGCGAGCAGTATGGTTGCTCGCTGAACTATTTAACGCTCGTCATCAGACTTTCGACGCGACAAAATCGTGCTCGGCTCTCCGTGCTCTGGCTCCTTTCACCCACACGAGTGACGATGAACGACGGCACACAAAAAGGAACGAGAACCAAGGGAGCCACGGGGAAACGAGTTTCTTCCCCCAGCGTGTGCTCGAATTATTATTATTTTCGGTCTTGCAAAAAAATGTGGCGTTGTAATGAAACAAACAGCGAACGATGACATTTCAACGCGGAGAGGAGTGTTCCTCTCTGTGTCTCTCTTTTTTCAACTGGTCACTTTGGTTGATTGAGGGCGATTCGTAAGGAATAAGGGTTGAAATGGTCTGACGAGAAAATTCACGCGAAAAAAATTGGTATATCCGAGAAAGGGGAAAATTGGGGTTGAAGATTTGGAAATTTGGAAAGCCGAAGATTTCGATTGTTCGGAAACTGACGAATTATTTGAAGAGACGAAAATGTGAGAACTTGGAAATTTGGAGGCTCGACAACTCGAGGATTTGGAAATTTGAAAAGCTGAAAATAATTTGGTGACTCGAGGGACAGCAGGGAGAAACTTTGAAAATTTAGAAACTTGAGTAGCCGAGAACCGCTGAATTTTGGGAATTTGGCAATTCGAAGTATCGCGAATTGTGCAGAAATTTGAGAACTCGATCTTTAAAACTTGCGAAATTTGAAAGCTCGAAGATTTCGTAATTCGAAATCAAATTCAGAGGCTTTGAAGGCTTGAAACCTCGAGGATTTTCAAATTTTCGAAACCCTAAGCCAAACCATCGAGAGCTCGAAAGTCTGACGCCTCAGAAAATAAGTCGAAAATCAAATCACTCTTCAAAAAAGCACGTCGAATTTTTTCTCGTACTGATGCGGCAGTCTGTTCTTCACTTTCACATTTGTTTTACTTGCTGCTGTGCTGATCAACGCCGATTTACACCTGGTTAAAATCTAAAAACGGCCGAGAAAACGCAAAAATCCTCCGTTGCGAGTAGAAAATATCGTAGTAGAAAATATCGATAATAACGTAGGTAGCCGGTGTTGATTCGCCGATCGATTTGTTCTCTGCTCCTCTATGTCGAAACGTATCACGTAGGAGAGGGGAAATTAATTCGGCAGTCTCCCCCCGTATAAAGAAAATCGATAGCAAAATAGAGGCGAAACGAGTTCCATTAGCTGCGCAGTGTTCGGTTTAATCAGCGTTTAATGAATTATTCCGCGACGATCGTGTTAGAACGATGAATTTCGAATTGTGAAAAGAAATCCTCGACGAGATAAAATAAACCGGCGGCGGATGATAAATATGTATATATCGCTCTCACGGCTTTGTCCGCCGAAATTACCGATTAATTAGATACTCCGCGCGATAATGACTCTAATTCTATTCGAAAATCCATTACAATAGCCGCGATAACAAAATACAGAGACGAAATGGATTTTCTACCTAACGGCGTCGGAATCGTTCGATACGCGCCGGGGGTTGCGCGTTATTGAACCCTCTTTGATTGCAATTAGCGCGACGACGAAACGCTCGATATAGTCGAATTGAAAAATCGTCGCGAGGATTTGAAAGCTGTGCAACAACAACTGTTGAAAGGAACACAGCTTATTATATTAATATTGACGAATCTTGTTCGAATCTTTTTGAAATCTTTGTAGAAGTTTTGCACAGATATTGTATTTTATATTGTCCGCGATAGAAATTAAATTACATTAAAAATTTCGAAATTGAATACGTTTAGTGTGATTGAGAATCTTGTAATTTTTGTACATTGTGATGTTAGAAATGAAATATTTGGAAAGATGTTGAAAGTTGTGCAACAACAACTGTTGAAAGGAACACAGCTTATTATATTAATATTGACGAATCTCGTTCGAATCTTTTTGAAATCTTTGTAGAAGTTTTGCACAGATATTGTATTTTATATTGTCCGCGATAGAAATTAAATTACATTGAAAATTTCGAAATTGAGTACGTTTAGTGTGATTGAGAATCTTGTAATTTTTGTACATTGTGATGTTAACAATGAAATATTTGGAAGGATGTTGAAAGCTGTGCAACAACTGTTGGAAGGAACACAGCTTATTCTAAAATAGACGAATCTCGTTGGAATCTTCTTGAAATCTCTGTATAAGTTTTGCACAAATATTGTGTTTTATACTGTCCGCGATAGAAATTAAATTACATTGAAAATTTCGAAACTGAGTACGTTTAGTGTGATCGAGAATCTTGTAATTTTTGTACATTGTGGTGTTAGAAATGAAATATTTGGAAGGATGTTGAAAGCTGTGCAACAACAACTGTTGAAAGAAACACAGCTTATTACATTAATATTGACGAATCTCGTTCGAATCTTCTTGAAATCTCTGTACAAGTTTTGCACAAATATTGTGTTTTATACTGTCCGCGATAGAAATTAAATTACATTGAAAATTTCGAAATTGAGTACGTTT